GCTGGTTTGGTGGTGGTGAATTCTCTCAGCTTTTGCTTGTCTGTAAAGCTTTTGAGTTCTCCTTCATATCTGAATGAGATCCTTGCTGGATACAGTAATCTAGGTTGTAGGTTATTCTCTTTCATTACTCTAAGTATGTCCTGCCATTCCCTTCTGGCCTGAAGGGTTTCTGTTGATAGATCAGCTGTTATCCTTATGGGAATCCCTTTGTGTGTTATTTGTTGTTTCTCCCTTGTGCAGCCATAAAATTAAAAGATGCTTGCCCCTTGGAAGAAAAGCTATGACCAACCTAGACAGCATATTAAAAAGCAGAGACATTACTTCACCAACAAAGGTCCGTCTAGTCAAAGCTATGGTTTTTCCAGTAGTTATGTATGGATATGAGAGCTGGACCATAAAGAAAGCTGAGCACTGAAGAATTGATGCTTTTGAACTGTGATGTTGGAGGAGGCTCTTGAGAGTCCCTTGGACAGCAAGGAGATCCAACCAGCCCATCCTAAAGGAAATCAGTCCTGCATACTCATTGGAAGGACTGATGCTGAAGCTGAAACTCCAATACTTTGTCCACCTGATGCAAAGAACTAATTGGAAAAGACCCTGATGCTCGAAAGATTGAGGGCAGGAGGAGAAGGGGATGACAGAGAATGAGATGGTTGGGTGGCATCATTGACAATGGACATGAGTTTGAACAAGCTCCAGGAGTTGGTGATGGACAGGGAAGCCTGGCGTGCTGCAGTCCATCGGGTTGCAGAGAGTTGGACATTACTGAGCGAATGAATTGAACTTGGAGTTTATGCAGTTGTACATACTGTACCCAACTATGGAAAGCTCTTGAGTTTTTTGAAATAGATATGTGATAGGATAAAATTAATATTTCAAGAGTATTGATCTGTTATTAGTTATATGTTGGATTGTTTTAGGGGAGTAGAGGGAAGCAGAGATGGTAGTTATGATCTTTATGAAATGCTGTGGGTGTGGAGTGATAAAGAACTAGATTTAGAGAAAAAATGGCTAGTGTGAAAAAAGAAAGAATAGTGAAAAGGAGGACAGTGGGAGTAGTGGGAACAGTGCATCTCTGTTACATATAGAATCTGTTGGGTTAGTTTGAAAGCTGGGACTGTAACCATCTCAGGGTTCATTTGGTCATTTGTTTGGGCTTTCTGAGGGCATCACTGGAGCTGTGGTGAGAATACCTGTATATCATCTTTCCATGTGTTTACTTGGCTTAATTACAGAGTAATGGCTGGATTCCAAAAGCAAGCATCCCCAGAGATGGCTACAGTCATCGACCCTTAAAAGTCATGTTTCTTTTGTTACATTCTTATTGACTTAGTCACAATATCACATTCAGTTTTGAAAGGAAGGGAAATAAAGGTCCCCCTGTTGATGGGGAAATACTAAATTTCTGAAAGAGCATATGGCAGTAGCACAAAGGCATTTCCCAATAGGTGGTTGCTATTATTATTATTAAATGTGTTTAAATGTCCTCAAGAAGCTAGTTTACTTCAAAACCTACTTATTATTTTCAATAAATGCTTGGTATGGGTTAAATAACAACCAGGGAATAGTAAATATGTGACTCTTGTTAAGCAAATGGTATGATTAATGTGTGGTACTATTGCATGAGACTGAAGATAATAGCAGTCTCTGAGAAGAGAGAATGAGGTCTTACTTGTATGATGAGCTTGTTTTTGGATTAATTAACTGGGGAAGAGTAATGTAATAAATTGTGAACTCTTATTGAAAATTGATCATGCAATAGATTCAGTAATCATTTTTATCCATTATCTCATTTAATACTTACAAATAAACCTAAGAGGTAAGGGATAAAAACTGAGGTTCAGAGAAGTCAGATAATTTGCCTGGGGTCACACTGTTAAAAATAATGAAGGCTGGACTCAATCCCAGGCCTGTATTCTTTTTTTTTTTTTTTTAGAATGGAAGACAATGAGAAAATAGATTTCACTTTATTATTTACCTTTATAAAGTCATCCAAAGCACATGAATTCTTTTATGTATTACTTTAACATTATAAAATAAATCATTATTACTGTGAAAACATGTGCCAAAAACCTTGTATCTTTAATCTTCAAGTCAATCATCAACTTTTCTAAGATTTTTAAAGACATGAAAATAAAAATCATTTCAAATAATAGCACTCAAACACCATGTACATTTGTGATGAAGTGTAACAATCAACTTTAAGCCTCAGATCTTCCAGGTTTTAGCTGAAATAAGCCTTATTAGCGTCTTAGATTTTTATCAGTCCTGTTTGGGGGCTTATTAGACCTTATTTTGCCTTATTAGACCTATACAGAGTACAATATTAAAATATGTTAATGGTCTATACTGAGAATATGGCATAATAGATGGGTTTATAATGCCTTAGGGACAGCAGCTGACCCACAACACATCCTGCAAACACAGGTGAGACCCCTTGTTATCCCTGAGCTGGGCAGTTTCACACAATCATTTTTCCTCTGAGGCTGAAGTCTGTGGTCTGATCTTCCTAGCAGCTTCCAGAACGGAAGTCAGGTTTCCTTTGTCTCCAAATTCCTTTTCTCGGTGCTCAAGAAGAATGCCCTGCTTTCCTGGTCCCATCACAAAGACTCCCCCAAGGATGAAGCCCTCGCCTTCAAGGTTTCCAGAAAAGCCTCCATTCCAGGCCCGGAAGAAGTTTCGCCAGACGCCCAGGCGGACAAATCCCATGAACACCATCTTCTGTGTCTGTGGGCCATAGAATTTTTCTCTTCACCCAGGAAGATTTCTCCTTTGAAATAAGGCGGGAAGTCCTTAGCTCCGTTCTTGATGTGCTCCTTTACCACTGCAGAGAGGGGCCGCCCAGCTCGTCCAACGTGGACCTCAGGGAGGACAAATCTGCAGCCTCCTCCCGACAGAGGTGGCAGCCTGGCCTCCGCACAGCCATAATCACGGCTCCATTCTTCTCCCAGAGTGCCTTCGCTTTAAAAGTTACTGCATCCTTCTCCAGTGTTTTCAGGTCTATGTCCTCCAGATACTCCAATGCTGCTTTATGGGGCTTGGCCAGAAACATGTCTGTGTTGGCCAGGAGCAGCGCCAAGGCAGCGGCTCCAATGGCCCCCGCACCAATGGACCATATTCCCATGCTGAAGAAACTGGGATCCGGGAGGAAAGACATTTCTGGGTTTCCTCACCTGCCTTCGCGGACGTCACGAGTCTCGCAGCCCCCTAGCGCGCCGCACGTACGATTCTCGCTCCCCGGCCTCCCGCCTCCTCTAAGGTACGATGCCGGGTGGGCTGACTGACAAAACCCTCCCGGGCCCAAAGGGTCCCAGGGGTGCCCCCGCCAGGCCTGTATTCTTAACTGTTATATTCTACTTTCTCAGAAGTGGGGAGAAAATGGAATAGAAATAGAGTCTTCATGTTGACTGCAAAGAAATGTGTCTAGGAGTGGAATTGTTGATGCTGTGCATGAAATGATATTTTAAATGTGGAGGTGGATTGGGATTCAGAAAGTGATGGAGGTAGGCACGTGTCCTGAAAACTTTGAGGTCCTTTGAATTAAAAATGTAGGTCTCAAGTTAGAATAGGAACGAGGTAAGGCCGGAAAACCTTAAAACATGCTTGCACGAGAGTATAACTGTTTCCACACATCTGTTTTAGCACTAACAATATTCGATATTAACCATACGTTTACATAACTGCTTCACTCACTAAACTCTGAGCTCTTGGCAACGTAGATAGCGCTCTGCAGATAGTCACTGTGTGTCTATGCAGTTAAATAGAAAGGAATTACACCTTATTCTTCCCTCATGCTGTCACTTATTTACATTTTGTTTTCTCTAATTTTTCCTTGTAAAGTTTCTTCAGAGTTTTACTCTGTTTTAGTGATTCTAAGTGAACCCAAATATGAGATCTTTTAGCAATCTTAGTTCAGTGCATAAACAAAAGAGAAGCACCTCCTTGAATGCTGCTTTTCTGGTTGTAATAATCTTGGTGGGAGAGCCCTAAGAGGAAGATGAATCAGAGAAGAATGGAAGCAATGGTCTCTTACCATTTCTAGAGAGAGGCATAATCCTTGTCCACAATCCTATATGGGTATCCTTCTGCAATAAGAATTTGGAAAGAAGAGTTCAGTCATACATCTGGGCAGTTAGAAAACTGTTAAAAACTTTATGACTTTATGTTCTTTAAAGTAAACAATTTACTGTTTTGTTGTGACAATTTATGTGTTCTGACATTTTGACCTTAATATTATTAGCACCTCTGGTGATGGTTGAAATGCAACATAGACTAAAAGCATACAGGATAAACAAGGATGGCTGTCCTCTAATTTTCCTGGAGATTAATCTCTCCGTCTCAAATATATAAAAGTAAACTTTTCCTTGGTTTGATCTCCTCCCAAAGTCTTTTCTAAGTTATAATTAGAGATGAAAATTAAGATATCAATGAAAAAATACACTCTGATTTATCACTTCTGACAAAAGAGGTCTTTTCCCCAGGCTGCTTCCTAGTTCCTTATTTTAGAGAAAACAGCAGGTGAGGGTGACTATTTCTCAGCTAGTGACAGCTTCCAAGAGAAGAATTATATTCAGGAAAATATTTGCGATTAAAGCACATCAGAAAAGAGACATCACATCAAATCCAGTTATTTTACTCAAATCAGCTCACTGCCCAGTTTTAAAATCTTAAATACCAATGTTTCAAGGTTGGAATTTTAACACCTTGAAAGTGAAAGTGAAGTCGCTCAGTTGTGTCTGACTCTCTGCGACCCCATGGACGGTAGCCTACCAGGCTCCGCAGTCCATGGAATTTTCCAGGCAAGAATACTGGAGTGGGCTGCCAGTTCCTTCTCCAGGGCATCTTCTCAACCCAGGGATCAAACCCGGGTCTCCTGCATTGCAGACGGACGCTTTACCATCTGAGTCACTAAGCTCCTTTATAGATAGATGACATAAATCTCCCAGCAAGATTTCACCTAAATATGGTAACTTTCTTTGAGAAAACAGCATTTAATGAGCAGATACAAGTCAAGTGCCTTATAGACTATGTATTTTTGCTACTTTTAATCTTCCCAAGTCTCTAGTGTAGGTACTATTATATTTGTTTTGTAGAAGAGGGATTGAGGCTGAGAGAGGTTAGTGCCTTGCCCAGAGACATATAAAATGTGTGTTAGTCACTCAGTCATGTCTGATTCTTTGTGGCCCCATGGACTGTAGCCCTCCAGGCTCCTCTGTCCATGGCATTTCCCAGGGAAGAATACTGGGGTGGGTTGCCATTTCCTCCTCCAGGGGATCTTCTGACCCAGGGATCCAATCTGTTTCTCCTGCTTGGCAGATGGATTCTTTACCACTGAGCCACCTAAGAACCACCAAAAGATAGATAGAAGAACCATGAATGTAATGTGAGTATCTTAAACCAATGCTTCTCAAACTTTTTCTTGCTTCCTTCCTAAGAGATTCCAATCCTCCTCCCATTCCCACCTCTTTTTCTCTGCTTAGTTATGAAATACTTCTATTTCTGCCATCCTAAAAGATTGTTTTTGGCCTGCTTTCTTCCTCCCTCCCCCTTTCCCCTCCTTCCTTCTTTTCTTTCTCCCTACCCTCTCTCCCTTCCTTACTCCCTCCTCTTTTTCTTTCTTACCAAGAAGCCAATAATTTTTAAAATTTTCAATATTGAAAAATATATTTTACTCATATTTTAGTAAATCTGTGATGCCATTGATTGAATGATACACAATTGAACTATGTTCTACTGAGGAAAAAAATGCTATCCACTATGATGTAATGCTTTAAAGACAGTCCTGCATGACACATGGATCATTTATACCAGCTGCTCATTGTTGTTCATCAATGCAAGGGCGTTTAGCAGTTTGTGTTTTCAGTTCCTCTGCTTGGCATGTGATAGCTAATTCCTTTGTATGCATCTTAATAACAAAACCCAACCTACATATACTTCTGTGTATTTTCTTAGGTCTTTAAACACATGGTTATTATTAGTAAGAAAATATGGGGCTCAAGTCATTCCTGTATGTTGAATGTTTGCCTCACTAAATCAAATTTATTTCCACTCTTCTATTTCTGTATATTTTTGTGTATATAATGACTTCTGCTCCGATGCTAAATCATGTAAGCCTATAGAAAAACATTTTAAATGGTGAATAAACTAAACACTTGTAGCACCAAAAATACGTAAGACTCAATGGAAATGAAGGCAATGTGAATAAATTTAATCAAGGCAGTGACAACCATGTCAGAACTGTCACCTGGCTGGCAGTGGCTATAACATGCCACTAAGACTCGATTTCAGGGATATTAAAAGGTGACAAACTATACTTCTTAGAGTCAGTGAAATAAAGAAATACTGAATATGCTTTCTGATAGCCTCTGTTTTCTGCTTCTTAGATCCTGATCGGGTCCCAGCTGTTTTATTCTTGAGGCATTCCTTCTCCCATACTTCTCATCCTTCAGAGAAATAGTGCTCAGCACTGCGCCTCTATCCACTGCGATAGGTTCCTTCCCTACTCTAGGCAGTATTTTAGTATTTACCCCAAGGCCTTTTATAAATGTTCAGAAAATTTAATTTTACTTTTTCCTCTTAGGGAGAAAAATCCCAACTACATTTCCAACTTACAGCAGTATATGTTCCCTTTTTCCGTTGTGCCATGATGATACGTAAGCCTTTGCTGATAGATGCAGTGAGCATAAAAGGATTTAATTCACTTTGATTGATTTAACTCTGTGCTAAACTTTTAAAAGAACTCTATAGTTTGGAATTATTTTCCATTGTTGAATATTTTGGAAACATTTTTATATGTAACTAATGAACAGTTCCTTTGTGCCTTGAAAAAAGTGCATATGTAGTAGTTGATTTTTGATTTTTATTACATATTCATTGTTTATTTTCTTCATTCTTAATCATTTTTTCAATTTTGTGTAATGATAATACCTACTCACTGTACTAATCCAAACAATACATAGTCAAAAGTGACATTGAAAGTCTCTTACTTTCCCTTTCTAATCCCATTTTCTAATATAATCACTGTAAACTACTATTTCCTTTAATACAAACACACACACTCACACACATATATATATACAGCAACTCCATGTTGGGACTATGTGTTTCTACATATTTATATGTATATACATCTATCTATCTATCTATTGCTTATTAGCATATTGTGGACCTGTTTCTAATTTAATTCATAATGATCTACATTGTTTTAAGTAGCTACTTAGTATTTCATAGAATTAATATACCATGATTTAGGCAACCATTTCCCTGTATATGGGCATTCTAGTTGTTTACAGAGATTGTCATAAACATTTTAGAGTTATTTTTGACTAAGGTTTTAAGAATATTTAACATTGCTGATTATTTTCCTTTTCTTTCTTTTTCTCTGACTTGTCAGTTAGAATCCCAGAAATGAAAATACTCAGGATATATACATGTTGAAAATTTTTATTATCATTATTTAAATTTTTCCCAATATAAAAATACACTAGTAATTAGTGAATATGTGGGTTCTTCTAGGTTTTCTAATGAATGTTATCAGCACTGACTGTTATAGAGTTTTAATTGTCATCCAAAAGGCAAGATTTGATATCTTGTTTTAATGTGCATATTCCCTGTTTACCACTATTGCAGTGGTATACTTTCATTATTTATTGATCATTTAGATTTCCATTTTTTGTGATTTGCCTACTCCTACTTTGACCCATTTTAGATTATCTTTTTCTTAAAGATTTGAACTACTTCTTTACATTTTAATAACAACAAACATCAAATGCTTACTATTTCAACTGACTTTGATTCTGAGTGCTTCGTAAGTGATAACACAATAATTAATTTGCACAACATTATGAGGTAGGCACAATTATAGGTTAAAAAACTAGGGCAGAGAAAGGTTAAGTATATATCCTAGGTCACACTGCTGGTGAGTGGCAGAGTTGACATTCAGATGAATGCACTGAGGTATGAAGTCATGTTCCAACTTCTGAACTATGGGCTGCTCAGCCAGAAAGGCAGATCACTTTCTGCTGAACGCACAGGTATGCCGTTGCCACGTTCATAGGAGCTAGTGTCAGGCATTTTCAGAGCATGTTGGAAAACAAATATTTTTGTCTAGGGTCTGGTAAGAATGATACTTCTCATGAAGAAAAAGTAAAAACTATAATGTTTCAAGGTAGAATCTTGATGGTATATATTGTTGAAAATGAACTATGGAAAATACCAATAAAGCTGATAAGGTAGAAACTGAACAATGAAAGCAAAGGAGCGGAGGGGGAATTTCCTTAGTCAAACCAGGCATGAAAGGTCATAAATTCTTTAATGAAGTGGGATTTAAAAAATATAAGAACTACTTTGTAATTTGTAGTTTGCCTAAGTAAATCGTTTATATGTAGTTTTCATTACATTAGCTACTCTTAATTAATCCCTTTGTGGTCTTTATAAAGTTTGTGGTTTAAGAAGACTAACAGCAGAAAAAGCTTTTGACAAAATTCAGCACCCATTTATGATAAGAACTATTCAGAAAGTGGCATAGATGGAACATACCTCAACATAATAAAGGCCATATAGGACAAACCTCCAGCTACCATTGTACTCAATGGTGAAAAACTGAAAGCATTTCCTCTGAGATCATATCTCTCACACCTAGAATTGTCAAAATGGATAGATTTATGACTGTCATGATATTTATTTTAGCAAATTTAATAGTGCCAGGATTGTAACACCTTTTAAAAATATCTCCATTTAGTTTTATTTTGGAATCCTCATAGTACTTGATTGCAACAGTGAAAAATAATCTTAATTCAAGATAAACCCAGGCATGTTAGGGCTAAAGTCTTTTAAGTAAGGATTTGCTGTTTAACTTCTCTCCTTTTTTCCAAGAATTAGTCTAAGTTCTAGAGGCTCTGGAGCATTGGATTTGGGAAAGATATTTGATTCAGTGCCATTTGTCTTCTAAGTGGGTATCCATAAGATGCTACAGTCCTGTAGGGTCCTTGAAAAGTGAAAAAAGTCAAAGTGTTAGTCACTCAGTTATGTCTGACTCTTTGCAACTCTGTGGATGGTAGCCTGCCAGGCTCTTCTGTTCAGGGGATTTCCCAGGCCAGAATATTGAAATGGGTTGCCATTTCTTTCTCCAGGGGTCTTCCTGACCCAGGGGTGTAACCTGCATCTCCTGCATTGCAGGCAGATTCTTTACTGCCTGAGTCACCAGGGAAGCCCTGTTTGGTCCATGGTCATGGCCAGATCTCCTCACTGGAATCTTCTGGGGTATCACTTATAGATTGAATTGTCTTTTCCTAAAAGATTAGTCAAAGTCCTAACCCCCACTACCTCAGTATGTGACTTTATTTGGAAATCGGGTTTTGCAGATATAATTAGTTAAGAAGAGGTCATTCTAAAGTAGAGTGAAACCCTAATCCAGTAGGACTAGTACCTTCTTAAAAGTGAAGACAGGAGAGGAGAAGGTCATGTGTCA